TCCTGCCGGGTACAGTGGCACACGCCTGTGATCTCAGGGCTTGGGAGGCTAAGGCAAGAGGATCACAAGTTCAAAGCCAGTCTCAGCAAAAAGTGAGGCACTAAGCAACTCAGCAAGACCCTGTCTCTAGATAAAATACAAAATAGGGCTGGGGATATGGCTCAGTGGTCAAGTGTCCCTAAGTTCAATCCCTGATACCAAAAACAAAAACAAAAACAAAAAAAAACCTCCTTTCCTTCCTACTGAGAGTCATACAACAGAAGGGTTTGTCTCTTCCTTTCATGGTGGAGGTTATTTTTTATATTCTGTTCAACTGGAGACGGGAAGGTTACAACCCAGTGGCTAATGCGTAAAGGCATGTGACCAAGGAGACTTGTCCATCTCCTCAGAAACCTCAATGATGTAAGAATTGGTACTCTTCTACCCTGAATGCATTTGACCACTCCCTCCATTTCTCAAGAAATATTTACCTCTAAAAGGAAGGAAATTGGCAACGTGCACATTAGCAAAGCAAGTGGGCCATGAGAAAAGTCGGTGAAGGCAGCCATCAGGAATACTCAGGAAAGGGAGAGGGGGCACTAATCCCATTCATGAAGGTCCAGCAGAGGGGGACGGGACCCAGCCACACAAGCCCTCCAGAGCCAGCTTCACAGACCTCAGCATCTGTGAGACTAAGAAACAAAGGTGTTTAAGAAGCAACTATTGGACATAAATTCAACTTTGCATCTATCTTCTTTTAAACCTGCTTGTCAGTGCATAACATAAAAATGCATGAACCCTAGTAGGCAAGAAATTCTCCTACAGTTCCTGGTGAGGGCCCTCTTCCTGGTAGTAGTAGGTCTTATTGCTGTGTCCTCAGAGGTGGAGAAAGAGATCATTTCTCTGGGTTGTCTTTTCAAGGGCACTAATCCCATTCATGAAGGCTCCACCTTCATTACCTAATTACCTCTGAATACCATCTCCCTACCAATACCCACCTCCAAATACTATCATATTGAGTTGGGGCTTCAACATAAGAATTTTGAGGAAAACACATACAGTCCACAAGAACAGCTACTTTTTTGCCAGTACTGTTTTGGTAACTGAGAGTACAAATAGCAGTTCTCAGGGAGCTTACTGTCTGGTGGGCAGGAAACAGGGTAGAGACCTCCCTGTAATAATGACTGTGTGAGAAGCAATGAGAGATGGAAAACCATGTGATATCAGGAACATGATACTGTGTTTGCTTTTAAGGAACTTACTAATTGGGAAGCCATGACAAAATGCCATGAAAAGTTTAGCATTTAAATAATGCTTCAAGGCCCCCGAGCAACTGCCCTAGCACAGAATAGCTTACCAGAACTGTTTAGCAGGGAAGGCTGGTTCACCACATCTATTTTGTACTGAACACATTATGATTACCCAAGCTAACAAATGTTTGTCATTAAACTGAAAGAAGTTTCAACACCAGAGAATGTGCATCCTTCCCACAAAAGTGGGTTAAGAATAGGGATGCATAGCTGTTCAGTTACGTGACATGAAAACCAACACATGCCCACATGAGCACAAATGTTACGAGAAAGGGGGCAGATGCTAGTCTGAAGATTCTCCTTGCTCTAGAGACAGCAAAGATCTAGAAGAAGAGGGTTGTTCAAACTTTACCTTCATTCTCACATGCTCTCCTGCCCCTAAGTGCCTGCTTACTCCACACCTATCCCTGTGCCACCAATCCTAGTAAAGCTTGTTAAGAAGCCTCCAGCACATCTACACATACACCCAACCCCCCCCCCCCACACACACACACCCTGCAATCAGGAAGCATCAGCTTCTGGCAGACCCTTAACAGCTACCAAGGGTTCACTAAAAGGAACAATACATCCTGGTAAAGACGTTCTTGGTGGGCAGTAAAATGTTCTTAGTACTTGCTTACTGCATAAAAAGGAAAGACACCAAATTTAGGAAAGGGAAAAACCACACACCTTATCTAATCCAAATCCAAAAGCAGATATCTAATCCAATACCAAAAACGATATCAAAGCCAAAAGCAAGAGGTTTGTCAGATAATACAATTAGATACTGGACATCTGGGACACTCCCTTTTCTCAGAGCCCCTACTTAGTCTTGCTTTATAATCTCAAGCAAATCACATTCCCTTTCGAGCCTCCTTTCCCTCATCAGTAAAACGGCACTGGACCAGATCCCTGAGTTTAGGAATAGTGACATTTACCAAGAAATTCCAATATCAGCTTTCATTAAGCCTCAAGCAATAAAACATTTCAGAAAAGCCCAACAAAGCTATAGCTTCTCCAGAAAAGACTGAAAACACTTTAAAATAAGAAACATATGGGCTTGGATTGTAGCACAGTGGTAGAGCATTTGTCTAGCAAGCATGAGGTCCTGGGTTCGATCCCAGTACTGGAAAAGAAGAAGAAAGAATTTACAATAAGCAAACTGCTGGGTTTTCTTCTCTATTTCACCCATCAGAAGAAATGATATCTGTGCAATTATATGCAGCTAGCTGAAGTTCATTCAGGGCTAACTGCTCACTAACCTACGATGCTCTTTAGAAATCAGAGTCTTCCTGGTAGTTAGGCAGCCCTAACATGAAGCACTAATGCTTGAGGAAATCAGTTCTTATATCAGTTCAGGTGAAAAAGGATAATAAATTGCTATTTTTCACTTTTACCACCATAAAATTTTTACTCCTACAGCTCAAAAAGAATTACTATACACTGAAGTTCACCTTTCTCAAAACCCACTCTAACTCTGAAACCCTACATCTCAACTGTTGCTTTCTTTTGGAAAGCCTTGCCTATTTCCAATTCCATCATTTTTTATCAAATCAGCACTTGGCCTCAGGTATTCTGTCCTATTCTGTGACTAATTTTACGTATAAAATATTCATGCATGAATATTCATGAAGTCAGTAAATTTCATGAATGAATTTCAGGTGGGTCAGTAGTTCACATTAAAATGTATTTTCCTTTTTTAAACAAATAGTCTGAACATAGAAAAAAATGGACAGAACAACATAGCAAACACTGGTGTACCTACCAACCAGTCTGAGAAATAAAACACTTTAAAGCAACAATGGAAGCCTCGGGACATCCATCCCTAACCACATCTCCAGTCTTCCCATCAGAAGCACCACCACACTGAATCCAGGGCACATTCATCACCTCCAGGTGGCTCTCCCTCTCCCTACACAGCCTATATCCTTATCTTCACATAAATGGTATTAATCTGTAACATATGTTCCTCAATTTATGTTTTATGAGTTATTCAAAAGGACACATGCAGCCTCTACTTCCTTTATGTTCATTACTGCATAACATTCCAGTACATGAACATTATGAATATACTACACATTTGGCCAAAGACACCATCTGATGTTTCATCTGGCTGCCAGATGGTAATTACTGTGTACCAGTTGTTTTCCATAACATTTTCCAAAATCCTCACAACCATCCAATGAGGAAGGTCAGATTCCCACTAGGCCAAAGCAGACACTAAGACAGAGAGGTGGCAAAACTTGTCCAACACATGTGAGCAGTGGACTCAAGCTGCAAGTTCAAGTTCATCCAAGCCTGAGACCTGATTCTGTAGTCCCACTTAGGCAGACACCATTATTTAGATTTTAATGAAAAAAAAAAAAAAACTGATAGAAGACTCAAACGTATCTGAGAAAATCTGAAACAGGCCACTCAGTTTTATTTTTTAACAATTCCACCACCGGAAATTTATCTGACACAGGGACAGTCCACGTGTACACTGAGGACAAGCCTACTTTTGGCAAAAGTTCTATGAACTTGCTGAGCCATTCCCAAGTTTATATACTCTCTTAAGTTAACCCCAAGTTGAACTGCAATTCTGGTTGACTTCCTTTGGAGAAAAAGGCTGTCTGCTACCACTCAGAGATGGGAGAGACGAACACAAAAGACTATGGGAATCAGATGATGCTTGAATTGGCAAAAGCTGAGTTGACAAAGCTCTAAGAACGACTTCAGGGAGCAGCTCCAGCTGCTGCTGGTTCTAGTGTTCTCAGGGAACGGTCCTGTGCTCACAGGCCAGGGTGCTTGCCCACTCTGCTCTCCACTTGGCTGGCTTTGAGTGAGCTGCTTTTGAAAGAGCCCAGCCCTGCTGCTCTGGAGAAAGCCCAGCTTGCAATACGGAAGAGAAGCCAGAAAGAGGAGTGAGGGTGGAGACTCAAAGGAAGCAGGCAGGGAGCAAGGCCCTAAGACAGGCAGCCCAGGTCTAGGCCAGGGCTTAGGAGATGATAGAGTCTGGCCTTCTAAGGATTCCCAAGGACAGGGAAGGCCACCCAGCACCAAGATTCCTGACTACTGCCACGCCTCTACACTCAGTCTCTAGTGAAGATTAACGAAGCCTCCAAAGAGCAAGGCATGAAGCAACCCCCTCCCACCTCTCCCAAGCGAAGCAAGAAAACAGGCTGTGCTACTTACTAGCTAAGTGCACTTGGCTGGAGCATCCCTGCCCACTCTGAAGGGGACTGTGGTGGGGCCATCTCTGGCTCTGTCCACCGCAGCACTAAATGCACTAACATTGAGTGTAAGTCATTTAATCCCCACACACACGCGCGCACACACACAAAATAAGGTAGATACTACTACTATCCGCACTTCCAGAGAAGCAGCTAAGCACACAGCGGTTAAAGGATAAGTTATAAAGAAGTCCCTGGAGATGAAAGCCTACCATTCTGGGAGGGATGGTCGGAGTAGAGGGACAAGGAGGAGGACCGATGAAAGATACAGGAAGACACAATGGATCAAAGTTCTGAAGAAGGAAGAAGGGACTGAGAAGCCCCAGCTCCACTGGCCTAAACTCAGGTTAAGGGCAAGATTAGGAAGGAGGGTGGAATCGAGGAGAAGTGGGGAAAGGAAGGCGACTAGAGAAGGATGGGAAGAGGCCTTTGGGGAAGAAGGGTGGCAGGGAAAGTCATCAGGCTGAACAGAGGGGGCCGACTGAGATGTGAGGCGGCAGCCAGGCGCGCGCAGTCCCACCTTGAGCACAGTGACGGCTCCCGCACTGTGCACCTGGAAGTGCGCGGGCGGCTCAGCGCCTGGCTCAGCCGCCTCGTCGGGGCCCTGGTAGCTGAAGCAGGCGTCGGCGATGTCCAGGTGGCCCAGGGGCAGCGCGTCCTGCGGGCTCTTAAAGTAATAGAGGTAGCAGCGACGCGCGTCGAACACGAACCAGCGGCTGCGGTAGCCGCGCAGCGGGCCCTTGCCCGACAGCTTCTGCAGGTAGCCGCACAGCCGCGCCGGCTCCCGCCCGGCCCCCACCCCAGCCTCCGCGGTGGCCCCCGGCGCCGCGCCCTCGCCGCCGCCACCTTCCTCTGCCCGGGTCCCGGCCCCCGGCATCACCCGCCGCGCGCCCACCGTCGGCGCCCGAACCCCCGCGCCACCGCGCCGCCACCGCCACTGCGCCCCCTCCCCGCCGCCGCCGCTCCCTCCGCACGACCCGGGCGCGCAGAGCAGTCTGGGACTTGTAGTCCCGCCCCCGCCCGCCACTGCCCCCGCAGGGCGGCGGAGGCCAGGTCCCTCCCGGGACCCCGAGTCGGGACGGCTTTCACGCAACGTGGGAGTCCAAGTCTTCGCCCTGCCTGGGTGAAGCAACGTTTGTTTCTTTATGGGAGCATGGATTCCACCGGAGGATGCATTTCTCAAGAACCACCTCAAAACAGTATTGCACTCTATGTAAATTATACCTCCATATAAAACTTGGTTTTTAAATGGAGTTTTTAAACTCTGCCCTGCAAGAGTCACAGACTTAATATTGTGAAAAATGAGAAAGCTTGTTGCCTGCTACTGAGTGGGTGCTCCATTAAATATTTGTAGAGTTCTTGAATGAAAGCCAAAGCATATCCTTCCTCTCTGCATCTCAGTTCGTTCATTGAATTTAACAAGTATTTATTGAGTGCCTACTATGTGCCAGGTAAGGTTTCAAGCACTGGCGATATAGCCATGACAAGCCAATCATTTCCCAGCCATCATGGGGATTATAGTCTGGTAAAGGAGGAAGATAATACACACATTAAAAAAAAAAAAGCAGATACGCATAATAAATGTTATGTTGACTAAATGGTCTGATGACATTTAAATAATGATTACTACTTAAAACAGCACTGGACTGGGATGTAGCTCAGTGGTAGAGCACTTGTTTAACATACAGCAGGCCCTGGGTTGTGTTCCCAGCACCATCAAACAAAAATCAAGGAAACCTTACCAGTGCTTTCTGTATTAATTCATTTGAACTCTCAAAACAACCTCAAGAGGCAAAAAGTATTGTTTTGTAATAAAGCAAAGCAAAGGTAAGGATGAATTTGGGAAGGAGAGTTATGGCAAGTTACCTCCATAGGTTAAGCTGGGGAGGCAGGTCTGAGGATGGGACACTTAGTGGCAACGTAAATGATGCTGATGTGAGGGAACAAGGCAACCAGAGAAGAGGGGAAAACATTCCAGACAGAGGGAACTGTTAGTACAAAAGTTCACTTTATTCAAAGAGAGAAGGAAGTACATTTGTGAGAAGGCCAAATCAACTGTCTCCTCTTCACAGTTTTGCATGTTTCACACAGACACACTAAAAGATGGTGGAAATCTGAGCTTCCTGAGATGGACAAGGACATTTCAAACAACTGCCTAATTGGAACAGACAGATAGGAAGAGCAGGCACTGGAGCCTCCCCCAAGCCAGCCATTTGAAGGCCCTGTATCTGCTGCCAAGTGAACATCCCTTTCTGACACTTGTCGAGATCTGGCTGGCTGGCCACAGTGAGGGTGCTCACCACCTAAGCTTCCTGAGGCTCTCTTTGAGCGCAATGCAGTATAGTGTTAAGTGCTAGGTTCCAAAGTCAGACTGATGGGATTTGTCTCCTACGTGTACCACTTACCAGAGGTGTGACCTTGGGAAATTTATTTGACTTCTCTGAACCTTAGTCTTTTCATTTATAAAATGGTGATAATGAAAGTAGCTATCTCACATTATTGTTATTGTAAGGTTTCATGAGAAATGCTAGTGGAAGTGTTTAGTTAGCTCAGTGCCTCACACATAATGAGCACTCAGTACCTATAGGTTATTATCATTACTATTACTATTATTATACCATAACATTGATGACTTTCCCAATCAGCAGATTCCGAGAGGACTCAAACCAGCCCCCATGCACAGGAGCCCAGATAATGTGGTACTTCAGGAGTCAAATGGATTGTTCTCTTGATGAGAGGTTCAATTTGAGCCTCACTCTGTGGATAAGAGGGGCTGTGACCAATTGGCTTGCTTGACTTTGAAAACTATGAAAATGGGCAGAGCTGGGAGAAGCAGGTCTGTGGCTGAGGTGCTAGGAGGCCATGGAGCAGCAGCAGAGTATAATCCATTTCCATTGTCAGTGAGTTGAGAGAAAGTAGGGGTAGGCATGACCTGTGTGGTCCCAGAAGAAAGAACCAAGTCTCTTGGAGTGTCGTGTGGAGGCAGAGGTCTGCAAGGCATGAGGAAGTCATCCTTCATGGGCAGAGGGGATGAACTCCCCTCCCCAGGGAGAAAAACTGGGTTGGTGGGGCTTGGCAGATGGTATCAGACAAAGGACCCTGTGGTTTCTCCTGAAGATGGTGTCTATGCTTCTCAGTGGGCAAGCTGAGCCTCAGCCTGACTCTGCATCTGAGTCTTCTCTCCCTCCTGGGTCACTAATGGCAAGAAGCTGCAGCTGTTTCTTAGTATTGTCAAGTCCCTGCCTTCTTCCCTTTGGAGGCCACATCTCACATCATAGTAAACATATTAAAATGATCCCATATTCCACAATAAATTAATATAGGTAATTTTTGCTTTAAAAATGTTCAAAGTCATATCCATAATTATGCTCTTGATATTATAAGACTGTGAGTTATTAACTTAAATTTATGATTATCTGTGATTTCTTGGTAATTATCCTGTCTATATGGAAATTCAGGCCAAGTGAGAAAAACCCAACCTACAAACCTTTTCCAGGGTAACAGCATTTTATGATTCCTAGGAAGGGGACATAATGTTCTACTTTATAGACATTTAATAAAATGTGAATTAATTTTGATTTTGATTTTCCCCCTGGTTTTGAAGCCAATACATACACCACAGATATTTCACAGGCCCCTCAAAAGCTGGCAGGCCCAGATGCTGAGACTATAGTATCTGCCTGGGGATAAACTGATTTGGCCCCTGCCTGGCCTTTGCCCTCCAGAATGTGCCCCTCTGAGGAGACTGTAGTCACAGGCCTGCCTGAGACCTCTGTAAGAGTACAAAGTAGGGCTGGCAATGTAGCTTACTGGTAGGGCAGGCCATGGGATTAAAGCCCTAGCACATGGGGGGAAAAAGTATAAAGTACAGAGACCCCAAATCCAGCAGCAATCAATATCTCAGAAGGTCCCCGGGAGAGTCCTGAGCCCACTGAGCTATGGGAAGTAGCCTATGTCTTTAGAGTCAACCCTAACACCCTCTTGCTCCTCCAGACTTCCCCAACCCCTTTACCCCGTCAACTCTTTAGGGCTACTCTGGGATGCTGGTGATTTCATGAATGAACCCTTTGCAATTTCACCCTCTTATTCCTAGGGCCAGGAGCTGAGCTCTCTTAGGTCCTTCCATCTTCAATTTGGACACGTTTTATAGTTACTGTAAAGTGCTAAACAAATGTAGCTTCAGTTTTCCCAGTTTCAAACCAGATTATACCCCTGACCTTCATGGAAATTTTTGAGCCATCTCTGGTGACTCTTCATTCCTTGGAACCCTTCTTAGGTGATGTCTTAGTCCTGTTTCTGTTGCTATCACAGAACACCACCAGCTGAGTAATTTATAAAGAATAAAGGTTTATTTGGCTCACAGTTCTGAAGGCTGGGAAGTTCAAGATCAGGCATCCACATCTGATGAAGTCCCTCTTCCTGGTGGGAACACTTTGCAGAGTGTCAAGGTAGCTCAGGGCACCACATGGGAAATAGTCCTAGCTCAGGTCTCTCCTCCTCTTTTATAGAGCTGCAGCCCCATTGGATTAGGGACCCACTCTTAGGGTTTCATTTAACCTAATTACCTCCCAGAGGCCCCACCTCCACACACTATTGACATATGACTTTGGGGATTAAGTTTCAACATGAGTTTTGGAAGGAACAAACATCCAGACCAGGCAAATAGCCTGTCACCTTTGCAGTCCCTGAGATCTCCCGGATTAAAACTCAACATCCAGTGGCCAGGGTCAGCTTTACAGAACCTGTGCACTTCTCCTTTGTTCAGGGAAGGTATCCTGAGTGTCAGAGGGTCTGCCCTGTATGCCATGTGAACCCCTGTCCCCTCAAGACTCTCAGGAACCCAGTGACCAGAAGGAAGTGGCCAACCCAGGAGGAAGTAGCCATTGTTTACTGTAAAGGGGAAATTTGGGCAATGAAGTTACTTCCACATGGCCAGCCTTTGGACAAACCCCAGGGGAACCCAGAGCCAGGGAGTCATCCTAGGCTAATTTCCCCAGAGAGGGGAGGGGTGTACCCAGAGGCTCTGAAGAAGCCCCAGCTATGCACTGCCTTTGCATCTGTAGAAGACTGGTTGCCTGCCATGAAATGAGCTTACAGCCCAGAGAGGAAATCAGCCTGAATGCTGTGTGACCTTGGTGCATCTCCATTTCCTACCTGTATTTTGATAGGGTGGATGGACAGCTAAGCGATCTCCTAGGGCCCTGCCCCTGCCTGCTCTGAAACATAACAGTCAAAAGAGGTCTAGCTGTGAGGGTCTGGGGTCATTCTTCCCAAATCTCTCTGTGTCAGTGGAGGCTCTGTTCTTTCAAGTCTTCAAGCCCAAGACCTTTCGATTTTCCCAGCCACCACAACCCAACTGTCTCCTGGGGGCTCCACTCCACACTATGGACTTGCCTGCCTACTACGTATAAGCCTGACTTCGTTGGGGTGACACATTGCATCTTCCCTGGTCCCTGCTGCCCTCACCACCAACCCCACCAAGGCACAAATGAAGGCCTTCTGTCCCTGGGACAGAGACACAGAGGTGGCTTAGCAACTTGGGGTAGGGGCACAATACAGCCCTGCTAGGCCCTTGCTAAATCCAGAGACTTGTGAAGGAAGTTGACCTAATGGGGGGATAAGTGAAGAGGGGAGTAGTGGGGACACTGGACCTGCAAATAGGTGAGCACTAGAGTGTTGGTAGGAGACAGTAAGTCACAAGGTGCTTTGACCAGAGCAAACAGCTCTCACAGGGAAACACTCAGCTGGGGATTGGCTTTCCACGCCCATCTCCATTGCTCTGAAAGGGGACCCTGCACCACGCCTACATCCTGGACGAGCGAGCGTGCCAGTGGGGGGACTAGAGAGAAGTCAGAGGTCCGCCCTTGTGCCTCAGCT